TGGGTTCGTGGTTGATGGATGGAAAGTGTAGTTTCCTCCTTCGGCGTCTTAGTCGTGGTGGAGTGCCAGATCTTGAGTTCGATAGCGTGTCCTGGGGTGTTGCCCAGATCTGATTCATTCAACGACAATGACTTCAGTTTTGGTGAGCCACCTTGGAGGTCCACAAAGCTGCATATCAGCAATGGAGCCGCGTCGAGCTTGGGTGAGAAGGTGATCTGTCGTTCTTCTCTTCGGTGGCTGCTGTGGTCGTGCTGGGGGCATGTGACGGAGCGTTGGTGTCTAGCTCAGAGATGTTTTGCTATCTTTTCAGTTTTGTCATGTCGATCCTTACGTAGCTTGTAATTTGATCTTTATGATATGAATGAGACACGTATTACCATGCAAAAAAAACCGGTGCGCGGTGGAACCAAATACAACACACCAATGGATCATCCAAGGTATTGTGGCCATTTTTCGCAAAAAAACGTATTATGATCATACCAAGAATCGTGTATGTGCCATGTCAAAAAAAAAGGAATCGTGTATGTGCCAGACGAACTGTGAGAAATCTAAGAATAAAAATAGGATTTAAAAAAACAAATGGCCCAAAAAATAAAAGTTATTGTACTCCTATATGATTTCATACGTAATAATAATTAATCAATAACGCGTGTGCAAAAATTAAGTGCACCGCACGGTTCGAACCCAAGATTAAACAGGCTTGCCTAGCGTGCTATACCAGGTGGACATCAGACAAGTTGTGACATATGCCTCCTCAGATATTATCTATACTAGACCTTCTCAAAGCGCAGTTGACCAGCCCCGCCGCTTATTATCCCCTCAGTCCTGCGGCTCACATTCACCTCTCTCTCAACGCCGGTCGCCGCCTAGATGTGTCACCTGACTTGCCACCGTCCTCCACTCTCGTCTCAGATTTGACCCCAAAGTCAAGCGGCAGGCAGCAGCAGCAGGTTCCCGTGTCGCCATGAGCTGGATGGGGAAGCGGGGGTTGGGTGGGGAGAGCCCGCACTGGCGGAGAAGACGGACGAGGACTGGCGGCCTCGGAGCTACTGGCGGCCCCGGAGGTATCTCGCCGCCGCGTCCAGTTCGACCCTGCCTCCTGCAAGCATGGCGACTTCTTCGACACCGTCTGGGCGGGCCACGACCTAACCACGCCCAATCTCTTCAGGTCAGTACAGTACAGTAGGCAATTTGGGATTTTTTTTTGAAACTGAAATTGAGGAAATTTTGACACAAATAAATGTGGAGACTGAGTTGTTTGGTCAATTAGTTAATCAGCACGTACACCAGAGACAATTTGTTGCAACATTGACACGATTATGTGATCTAGAGATAATAACATATGTACCGTCTACCGTGGTTTTCGTGGGATAATATAATTGAGTCCGTTCAATCCGTTGAGGAGGCCTCGTGGTTATCTATTTTTTTCACGTTTCTCGCGTAGTGGTTAGTGCCCACCTCGCAGTCGTGGACTCCTGTTACCGAATTCTTTGGCGATCTGGCGCTGATTTCTTGGCGCGGCCACCAAAAACTTCTCGTGCGCCGACGCACCACGCACCAAATCAGGTCCTAAACTAACCGCCATAGTCTCCTGGTCCTGTTTGAAAACAAACACATCCTCGTTCTCCAAACCAATCTAGCTCGAGGGGTGCCCGGCGTCCCTCTGCTTCCACTCCGACGGGTGGTCAGGAGTTCCTCTGCTTCCTCTGCGATGGCCGATCAATCGGCACGCAGCGATCACAGTGGGGCGCCACGGTATCATTCTCTTCTCCCTCCCCATTCCCCTCTCTGTTCGTCTCTGGCACACCCCCTTGAGTAATTTTCTTCTTTTCTATCTTACGTGATTGTGCTGATTGTCCATTATTTGTACATTGCAATTTCTTTTCTGCACGATCCATCAGTATTGGTTTGTTGGCGGTTCATAATTTTAGTTTGGCAAGTTTTCTTGTTGTACGAGTTGATCTTGTTTTCTTTCTTTTCTTTCTAAACCATGTTAGCCGGGAACTAATTATGTAAGAAACGGAGAGAATATTTGTAGAACCTTAAATCTAGGATTCAACTGGTATGCTCACAAAAAGGTTATGTTTTATGTGTTTACTACAGTAGCAACTTATGTCCAACTAGTATGTGCTTCTGATGGCCATGAATAACCTGAACAGTTCCCTCAGTTTCTTGTTCAGAAAGTTGAAATAGGTATTAATAAACTTGCACATTAGTTAGCTTGTTTGGATAGAGCTCCTAATGACCATCTTGTTAGTTATGGCCAATGTAGGCCAAATATAGAGTTGTTTGATTAATGTTCTCATTGTTACTATATAATTAATATATTTCACACTTTACGTTCATGATTAAATCCAATGCTTATATTATACCTCCTACTTCCATTCTACATTTTTGTAGCAATGTAGATGTCGACCGTAGTTGGATGTACAAAGAGAGACGAGGGAAGTTGATCAGTGATGCTTGGCAACATGGAGTAGATAATTTTCTAGATCATGCATTCTCATTGCCCGATGCTGCTGCAGACGGGAAATCCCGTTGTCCTTGCAGCAAGTGCTTTTGCGGTCATAAGTGCACAAGGGATGTCATGACCACACACTTGTGCAGCAATGGGTTCATGTTAGGATATGAGAGATGGACTAGCCACGGGGAGTCTGATGCACCTGAAAATGTAGAGCATGATAACGTGGGGGGTGGAGATAGAATGAATGACATGCTAGTTGATGCAATTGTTGCTGAAGGAGTTTCTAAAGGTGATGAGCCAACAAAAGCTGCTAAAAAATTCTATGAAATGTTGATGGAAGCCGACAAACCTTTGCATGAGAAGACCACACAATCACGTCTATCCATTGTAGGAAGGCTAATGACTATTAAAACACAACATAATCTGTCAGAAGCTTGTTACAATGAGATGATGACTCTTATACATGACATTGTTGGGGATGATGCTGCAAAAGATCTCCCAGCAAACTTCCATAGGTCCAAGAAGCTTGTGCATAGTCTAGCAATGCCTTACGTCAAAATTCATGCATGCCCCAATAATTGTATGATTTATTATAAGGAGAATGAAAATAAAGAAAAATGCATTATCTGCAAAGAACCTAGATATGAGGAAACAACCGCAGGAAATAAATCTACGAAGATACCAAGAAAAGTTCTGCGCTATCTCCCAATTACTCCTAGGCTACAACAGTTGTACATGTCACAAAGCACTGCCAAGCACATGGACTATCACGCAAGGCCTCATAACAGTGATGAAGTAATGGTTCACCCTTCTCATGGTGAAGCTTGGAAGGAATTTAATAAGGAATTTAAAAAATTTGCTGAGGAAGTGAGGAATATAAGGCTATGTCTAGCAACTGACGGATTTACACCTTTTGGTATTACAGCAGCCTCCTACTCATGTTGGCCAGTATTTGTTGTGCCTTATAATCTTCCACCAGAAATGTGCATGAAGCAGAGTAACCTGATCCTTGCACTAGTTATTCCCGGTCCAGATCATCCAGGAAAGAACCTAAACGTTTTTATGCAGCCTCTAGTTGACGAACTTGATGATTTGTGGAGAAATGGTGTAGAAACTTATGATAGTTATCGAAAGCAAAATTTCACCTTAAAGGCAGCTTTGCTTTGGACTATTCATGACTTTTCAGCTTATGGATTAGTAGCATGCTGGAGCACTCATGGAAAGCTTGCTTGCCCTATATGTGGATTTGACATAAAGACATTCTCATTGAAGAATGGGAGAAAACCATGCTGGTTTGACTGCCATAGGAGATTCCTTCCCACTGACCATGCATTTCGTAGGAGTGTGAAATGTTTTCGCAAGAAAAAAACAGTTTTAGATCCTCCACCAAAGCCCTTGTCCGGAGAACAGGTGTATGAAGAACTCCAAAGTCTTGTCCATGATGAAACTGGCAAGAGTAAATTTGAGGGGTTTGGGAAGGAGCACAATTGGATAGCTATAAGTGGTTTGTGGCAGCTAGAGTATTTTCGGAAGTTGCTGCTTCGCCATAACATTGATGTAATGCACAATGAGAAAAATGTATCTGAGGCTTTACTAAACACATGCCTTGATATTCCTGAGAAAACTAAGGATAGCAACAAAGCACGCCTTGATGTTGCTTTGTATTGTGATCGACCAAAGCTACACCTGAACAAGAATTCAAGGGTGTGTGGAAGAAACCTAGAGCGAAATATTGTGTCAGCAAGGAAGATAGAATGACCATCCTTAAGTGGTTTAAAGAAGTGAAGTTTTCTGATGGGTTTGCTGCTAATTTGAGTAAAACTGTCAACTTGAGTAAAAACAAATTCATTGGGCTGAAAAGCCATGACCACCACATCATCATGGAGCGCCTCCTGCCAGTTGCCCTACGAGGCTTCATCCCAGAACCTGAATGGAAGGTCATAGCAGAGTTAAGTTTTTTTTATCGGCAATTGTGTGCCAAAGAAATTGCTCCAAAACGGATGCGTGAACTTGAGGAGGAGGTTCCTGTTCTATTATGCAAGATTGAGAAAATGTTCCCACCAGGCTTCTTCAATGTAATGCAACACCTGATAGTGCATCTTCCATATGAGGCAAGGGTTGGCGGCCCTGTGGCATATCGTTGGATGTATGTTTTTGAGAGGTATGTTAGACTATATAACATTGATCTGTACATTGTGTTTTCATATATTTATTTCATTTATTGCTGAAACTTCTAATATTTTGTTATAGGGCAATGCACTATCTTCGTTTAAAAGTGCGAAACAAGGCAAGAGTGGAGGGTTCAATCGTTGAAGCTTGTATTGTGCAGGAGATCATGAATTGTGTTTCTCTTTACTTTAGTGATCATGTTCGCACAATATGGAAGAAGAATCCTCGATATAATAATGGAGGAACACGCGTGCAGAATGATGGTTGCACCTTAGATGTATTTCAGCATGTTGGAAACCTACATGGGAGGCCTATTGCCCGAGAACTATCGCCTGAAGAGTTGAATGCAGCAAGGTTGTACATTTTGACTAACTGCTCTGCTGTTGATAGATTTCGTGAGTAAGTGATGAATAATTTGTAATTTTAGAATTGAAGTGTGCAAGATGTTTATAATCATACGCGGATTTGCAGAACATATGAAGATGAAAAATATGCAAGTCATCCAAACTTGCCATCGGAGGGCCTTGATGAAATGATGGCATCCGAATTTATGGAATGGTTCGAGATTCCTGTAAGCACATTTTAATTAGCATTATATCCTCACGATTCAACTACTACTATGTTTCATAATCCGACTTTTTCTTTTCATTTCATTGTAGTGCAAAGAAGATCCCAATTCTGATGAGGACTTGTGGAATTTAGCTAATGGATGCAGCTCTAGAGCATATTCCTATAGCTCCTATGATGTGAATGGCTTTCGCTTTAGATCAGAGATATATGAGAAAAAACGTAGAAGGTTGAAAACGGTGAACACAGGGGTTTGTTTGTCATCCTTCATCTCAGAGACTGAACAACTTGAGTACTATGGTGTCATTGAGGAAATTATCAAAGTATCCTTCACAGCTGGTAGAAAAATTGAGATGGTACTCTTCAAATGTCGTTGGTTTGACCCCATCAAGGGTGTGAAGCCAAATGCAAAATTAGGTTTGGTGGAGATAAAGTGGTCTTCAAGGCTAAGTAATTTTGAACCATTTGCCATGGCTCACCAAGCTACGCAAGCTTATTACTTGCATTACGCATCCTCCAGGAGAGATCTTCGTGATTGGAGGGTTGTTTACACTATTCAGCCAAGTACCAGCTTGAGTAACTTTGATGACTGCGCAAATGACCCATCTACTACAGATGAATATTTCCAGGAAGGTGGTCAGCTGGGTAGTTTTTCTGTAGATGGTGGCAAATTTGTTGATGAATCTACTGAGCCAAGAAATGAGTCAGATGATGTGGAGCTTGATCCCTCTGAAATTTATGTAATAGAAAATCAAGGCAATAATTATGAGGGAGAAGAATCTTCAGAAGATGAATTGGACGAGAGTACTGATGAGGAAGAAGAAGATTTACCTGAAGAGGAAGGACAAGAAGAGACATATGAGACCGAAGATGAGGATGATGCAATAGAGCATGACTCTGAATATGACGATGATGATTACTGAACATTTGTAGCTTTTGCACTTGTCATTTTCTGTCTTGGTACCAATAAATATTATATAGTGGCACAACTAGTGAATAATATAGTATGTTTTACTATTGGTAGTAATACATATTACATAGTGATTTAGTGACACAACTATTGAATAATATATTATGTTTGATAGTATTTCTAGTTTAGTTGTTACATAATGTTTTCTGTTGTTCTCTTCTTCTACTATCATGCCTTTGGTAATCATCTACTAATTTTTTTATGTGGCTAATAAGAATGCATTTGTCACTATGTAAATAGGATGACCCGCTTGCATCATAGGCGTGTCTCAATGGCTAGGTTGAACAGGTCTTCTTCTAGTGCCTCCGTAGGAAATAATGGATCAACTCAGTCAACTGTACAGGCTAAAAAGCCTAGAACACCAAGAACTAGGACTTCAGCCGGTCTCAGACTAGAGGAAATTGACCGACCGCTTATAGTTCCCGTTGGCATGTAAGTATTAAATATTCCAATTGCTTTACTTGTTGGAGCAATGTTCATGTGCTAACTACATTTGATCTTTATTTATAACAGGGCATGGGAAAGGCACCCATACAGCGCTCGTGATCCATCAACGGTGCTAGGTGCCTTAGTGCGCCAGATGTATCCACCGCCAATTGGTCCAAAAAATGATCAGAAACTGGTATTGTGTTGGGAGGACTACAAGTGGTCCCCTGGTCCAGAAGTAAGAACAGCAGCTTCCAAAATAGTGGAAGAATTTTGGGTAAGTATATGCGCACAATGCTTTGAGAATTTTGAATCGGTTTTTCTAGTACTTAGAATTCTGAAACAGAGGTGAACATATTATATTTAGACATAAGAAGTCTAAAACTGGTGGATAGGTGGTAGTTAAAATTATTTATTTTGGTCACAACCATGACAAAACTACTTGGTTTATCTATGAAGTGTTGGAAGCTTTGATGATTATGCATATGCTCACTTCCACAAATGCACTAGTAACTAACAAAAAAATGTTTTGGGATGGTTTTTGGCAGTGGCGTTTCAAGTGTGACCCATCGGAGCAAGAGAAGGCAGATGGTGTTTTGGAGGAGAACTTAACTAGGAAAGTGAAGCAGATGCTACATGAGGAAAAGGCGGCAGCCATCAAAAGATTAAAGAAGAAGGGACAATTGCCTACAGAACTAACAGAAGAGGATGAGGATGGTAACCGCTGGCCAACTAAGGAAGCTTTAATTTCTGCAAAGAGAGTTGACTTTGGTACAGACGTTAGTTGGCGTCTACTATGTGAGCACTGGAGTAGTACTGAATTTAGAGGGTTATCTTTAACCAACAAAAGGAACAGACTTGCTAATGGGGACACGGTCTTCCATTGCAGTGGTGCTAGAAATGTCGTCGCCACACGTCAATTTCTGGTACTATTTTCGTCAAACATCTTTGTGCTTACTGTTTAATAAGGAAGTTTCATTTACATTGGATGATGTGTCACACTCTTGAAATGCAGAAACTCAAAACCGGGAAAGACCCTGGAATTTCTGGTGCTTGGCTTCACACGCACAAATTGCATCGAGGGACTGATGAAGAGCAGATATGCAGTCAAAGAACTGTTGATCATTGGGTCAGTAAAATATTGCAACTTAGTTCATTATAATCATCATGAGAACTATGTGCATAACACTGCAGTTTGCCATTAATTTTTAATTTGAAAAGGAGGATTTTGATAAGGCAATGAAAAATGCCCATGGAGAAAATTGGGAAGAGGAGCACCCGGATTTAGATGGACAAATCATCTATGAAGCAGCAGGCAGAATGCCACATGGCAGGCTGGGAATTGCTAATGAGTTGTTTAGCAAAGCAGAGAAGGCGAAGTTTAAGTCTAAAAGGGCGATGGCCTCACAGCCGGTGCAATCTGCTAAGGAGGAGCGTCTAGAAAGAGAAAACAAATATTTGAAACAGGAGATCAAGCGTCTTCGAGGCATTGAGCTTGTTATTCAGGTAATATTATCTTCTCTTGTAAATTAGAGTCTGAGTGAATAGGTATGTGCTGACATGCTGATGTTTGTAGTCTTTGGCCGAGAAAGGGGGAGTCGACTTTGATGGCATAATGCAATCAGCAACAGATGACTTGGTAAGTTATACCCATCTGAATTGTAGGCTTTCAGCAATTGAACCCATTAAGTAATGTTTCTTTTGTGTATGATACATAGTCTCCATCATATTCTGAAGGCGGATTTCAAAGGGGACGAGGTGATGTGCCTCAACACCAAACCGAAAAGGTTAGTTCATTGTCGTCGTGCTCGCAAGTCTGGGGATTACCTCTCCTTGTTCCACCATTTATGTGTTTGTCTTTGCATATGTATTAGCACATCAAGAGAGAATTTGTGTGTGCAAGTCAGGTGCAGTATTTTTGGTCATGGAAAGTAGCAGCAGATGTAGATCCTTCATATATTTTAATTACAGATTTAGAAAAGAAATGCATGGTTAACTATATTGGCGCATTCCTCTAAAGGATTATATCACCCAAGAGAAATGACTGATGCTGCATGTAAATACTTGATGGTTGATAGGACAAGTTTATCTGCACATCGATGAGAAAAAAAATGCAGTGAAGACCACACTTGATAGCCTACAGTTGTCATGCTTGTTTATCTGTACATATGCCTTGTTTGCTTGTATCTCTGTACATATGCCTTGTTTGCTTGTATCTCTGTACATATGCCTTGTTTGCTTGCATATCTAAATTCGCTATCATTTCTTATGTGCAAAACTAGATAAACTGAACCATGTTAATTAAAAAATCATTAATAGGAAAAATATGATAGTATGAACAATAATTTATTTGTACTTCATGTATAATTTATTGAGGTCGCAGGGAACGAATTAGTAGACATGAAAGCATTTAGGCTAACCATCCGGAATATTTTTCTTACGGATACTCTTCCTTTATCTAAGCATTGTACCATGTTCGATAAAGCCTCTGTACATATGCATTTCAATTATAATACATATACATGCAAATATTATTTCACCTTGGGGCACATGCTGCTAGTTTATGCTCTTTGTACATGCCATTCTTAATTAGTTTACTATATGCCCAAACTAGCCAATAGCGGTCTGTTAGTTTACTAATTCGGCTTTGTCATGTGACTGCGAAATGTAAACACTGTTGATAATGGGGTTGCAGATAGATATGCATAGTACTTGGTAAATGTGTATGGAATGTGTTCCTGCTGATTCATATTTCCTCTGGAAATTTCATGTGAAGGAACGAAAGGTGAATAGGCATCATATTGTTGGATAATCATGCTGTCATATAGCTGTTCGCAGATAACCTGTCAATTAGAACAATTAAGTTTGATCCCTGTAGGTCACTTAAATTTCAGCTACATTATACTGACAACTAGTCTTGTCATTACTTAGGGAATGGGAAGCATGACTGGAGGCAGTACGAGTCATGGAAATGATGATGAGGACGACGACTATGGCAATGGGGGATATGGTAACTATGGCGAGGGTGATCTGTATGGTGATGAGCACTAGGATCACTATGTTGATGGGGAATATGATGACTATGGAGATGAGGATGACTATGGCTATGGCTATGGCGGTGGCGATGGCGATGATGATGATTGGCTATAAAATCTAATGATCTTCAAGTCATGTCAAAATGTAGTTGTGTTAGATATTTGAAACACTTTATTATCTTATGGACAAATTTGTCTTAGTGGACAATTTATCTTATGCAAAATGTGGCCTATCTCAGTTACTATTTTGTTCTGCATTCGACATTTGATAATTATGGTTAATGCAATTTGGATGCAACTCAATACCTTGTGCTTGTGTATGAGATGGAATGAAACACCCCTTGGTGAAAGAAATATATGAGGGGTGAGTAATGACCTATGGTGGAAAATATGTCTCGGTTATAGAGAATGCCAATGGGGACTTCAGACTGTTGGTGAATTTATAAATTGACGGTGTTTGCTCACCCTTGACTAACAGGTTTTCTGGCGGTGTTCGCTCACCCTCGGCTAACAGGTTTCCTGAAAGGCCGTATACACTGTCGACCATCTAATGAGCTGACGGTTTGGTTCTCCTCACGGTCATAAATAAGTCCAGCGGGACAAATGTACCGTCGACTACTTTGAAAACCGACGGGAAGCAATAACCGTCGGAGAGTAAATGCTCGACGAGGAACCGTCGGCTATAAATGTCGTCGGGCTAAGATGAGCCAGCTGGTCACAATAACATGCCCGACGGCTCACCGTCGGCTTACTACCGTAGGTGACAATATTACCCGACTGTACCGTCGACCATTACTGTAATGGCCAACGGAGCAAGGCCGACGGGAGATGGCCGACGGTGTACCGTCGGTTTTAGTAATAGTTGACGGTGATAAAAAATATCCGACGGTGATTGGACCCTCGGTTATAATGAAATATCTAGTAGTGAATGACTGAGATTATAGTTTGTTAGTTTTCAATGAAGTTTATGATTCATACTTGAAATTGTGATTGAATTATTACTCTAGTATAAGAAATCATATGACAAGATTTATGTAAGTTGTTGTTCTAAGAATGATCAGGATGCCCTCATGTCCGTATTTTATTTTTATCGACACCTCTATCTCCAAACATGTGGACATATTTTTCGATTTCGGCTTTCGCTTGAGGACAAGCGAGGTCTAAGCTTGGGGGAGTTGATACGTCCATTTTGCATCATGCTTTTATATCGATATTTATTGCATCATGGGCTGTTATTACACATTATGTCACAATACTTATGCTTATTCTCTCTTATTTTACAAGGTTTACATAAAGAGGGAGAATGTCGGCAGCTGGGATTTTAGGCTGGAAAAGGAGCAAATATTAGAGACATATTCTGCACAGCTCCAAAAGTCCTGAAACTTCACGGAAGACGTTTTCAGAATATATAATAAATATTGAGCGCAAGAAGTTCACCAGGGGGGCCACACCCTACCCACGAGGGTGGGGGCACGCCCTGGCGCGCCTCCCTACCTCGTGGGCCCCCTGGTGGCCCTCCGGTGGCCATCTTCTGCTATATGAAGTCTTTTGATGGGAAAAAATCATAAGCCATCTTCTCGGACGAAACTCCGCTGCCACGAGGCGAAACCTTGGCGAAACCAATCTAGGGCTCTGGCGGAGCTGTTCTGCCGGGGAAATTTCCCTCCGGGAGGGGGAAATCATCGCCATTGTCATCACCAACGCTCCTCTGATCGGGAAAGGGTAATCTCCATCAACATCTTCATCAGCACCATCTCCTCTCAAAACCCTAGTTCATCTCTTGTATCCAATTCTTGTCTCCAAGTCCGGGATTCGTACTAGTAGGTTGCTAGTAGTGTTAATTACTCCTTATAGTTCATGCTAGTTGGTTTATTTGGTGGAAGATCATATGTTCAGACCCTATATGCATATTAATACCCCTTTGATTATGAACATGAATATGATTTGTGAGTAGTTACATTTGTTCCTGAGGACATGGGAGAAGTCTTGCTATTAGTAGTCATGTGAATTTGGTATTCGTTCGATATTTTGATGAGATGTATGTTGTCTCTCCTCTAGTGGTGTTATGTGAACGTCGACTACATAACACTTCACCATTGTTTGGGCCTAGAGGAAGGCATTGGGAAGTAATAAGTAGATGACGGGTTGCTAGAGTGACAAAAGCTTAAACCCTAGTTTATGCGTTGCTTCGTAAGGGGCTGATTTGGATCCATATGTTTCATGCTATGGTTAGGTTTACCTTAATACTTTTGTTGTAGCTGCGGATGCTTGCAGTAGAGGTTAATCATAAGTGAGATGTTTGTCCAAGTAAGGACAGTACCCAAGCACCGGTCCACCCACATACCAAAATATCAAAGTACCGAACGCGAATCATATGAACGTGATGAAAACTAGCTTGACGATATTTTCATGTGTCCTCGGGAGCGCTTTTCTCTATATAAGAGTTTGTCCAGGCTTGTCCTTTGCTACAAAAAGGATTTGGCCACCTTGCTGCACTTTTTTTACTTTTGTTACTTGTTGCTCGCTATAAATTATCCTATCACAAAACTATCTGTTACCACTTATTTCAGTATTTGCAGAGAATACCTTCCTGGAAACCGCTTATCATTTCCTTCTGCTCCTCGTTGGGTTCGGCACTCTTACTTATCGAAAGGACTACGATAGATCCCCTATACTTGTGGGTCATCAATATGTTTAGCGTCAAAACACTCTAAAAGCTACATGTTTCCATAGTCATGTAGTAAAATGTTGGTGGTTTCATTAATGGTAATGGGTGGGTGGGTGGGTGGGTGTGGGTGTGTGTGGGGGGTGGGGGGCTATATATAAAAATTGGCTAGTCCCCATCTGGGGTAAATGAATTTAAGAGAATTTTCATAGGAATGAAATTACATGGAAAATTTTCCTATTATGCCCTCTGGGTCGCAGGACTAAATTTGAAAAATTATACCAGAATCTTTCCTTTCATCCGCATTTTGGAATATTCTAAACATTTGCACAAACTTTATGTTTTCACATCTTTAAGTTGAGGTCTTAACGGTCCATATGACTATGTAATGTTTTTTTCATTGGTGTTTTTGTGCAATTATGCTCTCTTATAAAATAGTACCACGACTTCAACTGTGATGACAAGGCATTCATTTCCGGCCAATATCAATGTTCTACATAAAAGTGAGTCTCACAAGAAGCAAATGGCTTTGACGATAATCATGTTTCCTACAATTATCCATAGAATTGCATACTTATGGTTATACTGAATAGGTTTTTGTTCAGTTTTTTAAATAAAATACATGTGTTCAGCGTCCAAACACTCTAAAGCTACATGTTTGCATAGTCATGTTATAAAATGTTGGTCGTTTCATTAAAGAAAATGGAGGGGGGGGGGTCCCTCTATTAACAAAAACGACTAGTCCCCATTTCACATAAATGAATTTTAAGAGGATTTTCATAGGAATGAGATTACATGAAATTTTTCACTATGACGCCCTCTGGGTTGTAGGACTACCTTTGAAAATTGTACAAGAATCCTTCCTTTCCTTCGCATTTTGGAAGATTATAAACATTTGCTCAAACTTTACGTTTTCACATCTTGAAGTGCACATCTTAACAATCCATATGACTACGTAATGTTTCTTTTTTCATCAGTGTTTGTATACAGTTATGCTATCTTATGGAATAGTACCACGATTTCAACTACGATGACGAGGCATTCAGTTTCTGCCAATATCAACGCTCTGCATAAATGTGACTCGCAAGAAACAATGGGTTGACGATAATAATGTTTCCTACAATCACCCCTGGAATTGCAGATTTTATGGTAAAATTGAATAGGTGTTCACTAAGTCTTTGTTTAAAAAAAATCATGTGTTTAGTGTCCAAATGCTCTAAAAGCTACATGTTCATATAGTCATGGAAAATTTTCCTATGACATCCTCTGGGTCATAGTGTCACTTTTGAAAAATCATACAAAAATCTTCTCTTTATTTTACATTCTGGAAGAATCTAAACATCGCTCGAACTTACAAAACATGACATTTGTTTCTCCTCTTCTCTCTAAAAAAATACAATCTATAAAATTCCCGTGGATCCTGTGGAGCATCCAAACAACCACGTCCATACCATTCGTGCATTTCAGATCATTTTAGGAATGTAACATGGCATCAAATTCCTACAATCCGTTCCATTTCTACTTTTTGTTTCTTGTCTTGTGTTTCAATCTTCAAATAGTCCTGGGCCTCCAGAAACCTCAGAAACGCAAACAGGTCCTTTTCCCCACAGAAAGGCCCGGACGGCACAGGGAGCGAAAGGAAAACTGCCCGAGCTAGGGTTTTTATCCCACACACGGGCCAGCCCGTATAAGTAGTCCCGTCCCCAACCCGTCGCGACCTCTCCCGCCGCCACCACCCGTGCCTCCTCTTCCTCCTCGCTCTCTCGCGCACGGGGCTCGCGTCCGAAACCCTAACCTCCCACCATGGCGGCTGAAGGCGGTGGCGTCCGGGCGCTGTCCCAGCGCGAGCAGGACATCCAGATGATGCTCGCCGCCGACGTCCACCTCGGCACCAAGAACTGCGACTTCCAGATGGAGCGCTACGTCTACAAGCGCCGCACTGACGGTACATAGCGAATCCCTTTGTGCTGTTTGCGAGCGCCGTCTTAGAAATCGTAGATCCGTCCGTGCCGTTGGTTTATCTCGGCGCACGAGAAAGCTGCTGTTAAATCTAAAGTATACTTGGATCTAGGCATGTGCGGTCAATAGGTTGTGGTGTAGTGCTTACTTGTTAATTATGGGCGCGTGCGATGGAATGACTTGTTGAATCATATGAGCATGCTGTGCGAAAATATTTCTTAAGTAGCCTCTCATCGATGGTGCTGCTTCGTTCAGTTTGTAGTCGCATAATGTCTGTTGAATCTTATGTAACTTGATGATTCAGTGGCTACTAGAATCTGCTGTGTCGATATGATCCTGCCACTGTCAGTTGTGATCACAATGGAGAGTCTGGAATCACTGTATTTTCAGATGGTGTCATTTAACATGTAATTCATAATTCATGAGGTTAACTTGGTGCCAACTGCTTTAGTGTAGAGTAAACAGTTCCTTTCAGCAATTTACCTTAATGAACTGCAAGTGAGCAATGCTGCCCTTTTGCGCTTCTTTTCAGGCATTTACATCATCAACCTTGGCAAGACCTGGGAGAAGCTTCAGATGGCCGCAAGGGTCATTGTTGCGATTGAAAACCCTCAGGACATCATTGTGCAATCTGCTAGGCCCTATGGACAGAGGGCTGTCCTCAAGTTTGCCCAGTACACTGGTGCTAACGCCATTGCTGGCAGGCACACTCCTGGTACATTCACCAACCAGATGCAGACTTCATTCAGTGAGCCACGCCTTCTTATCCTGACCGACCCCAGGACTGATCACCAGGTACACTTCTATTCTCTTTACTGGATTGTGTTCTGTTAGTCAAATGGGGCCATTTATGAATCATTCTGTTCAACTGTATACAGCCTATCAAGGAGTCTGCACTTGGAAACATCCCCACCATTGCCTTCTGCGACACTGACTCTCCTATGCGTTACGTTGATATTGGCATTCCTGCTAACAACAAGGGGAAGCAGAGCATTGGTTGCCTATTTTGGCTGCTCGCCAGGATGGTTCTGCAGATGCGTGGTACCATTCTCCCAGGACACAAGTGGGAAATCATGGTTAGCTTTCACATACGAAGCAGTCTGCTTGTCATTGTTTGGTTATTGGAACTAATACAATATTTTCTTCATCTAATTGTTCCTGAATGCTGTTTTCCCTTTTGTAGGTTGATCTGTTCTTCTACAGGGACCCAGAGGAAGCTAAGGAGCTTGAGGAAGATGAGGCTTTGGGTGCTCCTGAGTACGCTGCAGTTGCAGAGTACACTGCCCCAGCGGGAGATACCTGGGGTGCTGAATGGCCAGGAGCTGCAGCTCCAGCTGCTGCCGTCGAAGCCCCGGCTGGGGCTGAGTGGACTGGTGCTCCAGGTTTGAATGGAGACTTTTATTTTGTAATTGCATAATTAAATTGGAACTTTAGGAACAACCTCTAGTCTCAGTTTCAGCCCACATTTTAGATCAACCTGCTGTCCTAGTTTATGTTAGTATAAATTTTAGCTTTATATGGTCTTTGCTTGATCTGGGAATAGTAAGTTTTCAAGTTCACATTTAATTCATACCCCCTTTTTAACCCTACCCTTTTAAGATGCCATTTGCTATTCTCTACTTTCTTTTCCTGTCTCTGCCTATCAGTTTGACTATTGTTTGAAGCCTGAAATGTTCAAAATGTACTCAAATTACATTTCTGATTTTCAGCTCCTGCGGCCGATGGATGGGATGCAGTTGCAGCACCTGCCCCTACTGGCTGGGAACAGGGCAGCGCTCCCGCACCTGCAGCAGCACCAGCTGCTACTCCGAACTGGGAGTGAAGGACTTGACCCAAGGTTTATGCTACTCGGCACTGTGGAGTGAAGGAGTTCGGCCGTGGTTTACGGGTGAAGGCTGTGTTATTTGCCCCGTCAGTACTCTGTTGGTAGACGCTGGTTAAGTAGATTTAATTTTTACAGTGCTGAGTTATGTTAGATGGAAATCGATTTTTGTCTTCTTGGCTCTGCAGGGGCTGGGAGTTATCACCCCAGCCTTCTGCTGCCTCTCATCGAATAGCTTTATTTGAAGTTCCATTTTGCCAGCAAGTGTATGGTCAGATTCTCTTGAAATGTTATAAAAGCCCGGATCATGTGATACTCTAGATATGTCTACTTTATTTATGAGGCTATTGCTCATAACTTGCAAGCGGTCTTATAATCGTTGCATTTCAAAGGCAGCACGAAATTGGTCGGTGCGTCTCTGTGCCTGGCTTTGGTTCTTTGCATTGGACACGAACAAACTCTAATTTTCAGTGAATGTTTGCTGTGGGACATACAATTGTGAACGTGCTGGCAACACGAATGCTTCCAACCCATAAATCTCTGACAGAAACGCTGGTTTTGCCATGCACCCCAGCGAACATGGGCTGAATAGCATCACCCTGTTTTTTGAAGTAGAATTTTAACAACAATGTTTATAGAGATACAAAACAGAGCTGGAGGAATCCCTCGTCATCTAGCAAGTGCCAAACTATACGCCTGAAAATGACAAGTTTCGCAATGCAAAGATCCTTGGCGAGAACTACCGCCTCTCACTTTCTGCAAGCTTCAAATGTTTCTGGATCGTTGGTGCCCTCAAAACACAACTGCCGATGCGTCAAAAAACTATACGTTGACAACACTTCTGTTCGTAGCTTTGGCAACAACACCGACCACGCCCAACTTGACTTGCCCACCAAAGGAGGAATCCACTACCGGGCTTCTTGCAGGTCTCATGTATGATCACAGAGGTACTTGTGAATAAAAAGGTGCATCGATAGCGAGCTCTGAAACTCTTGTTCATGAATCGAGCGTCCAAACTCTAATCAAACATATTTATCCTACAATAAAGGATTGGTTGTCCGTTGAGGTTTGGCCTTGCCTTCTAGTACAACTCAGAGGAAAATGTAGGCCCCAGGATAATTTGAGCTCAGTTCTGGCCTTCTAAAGTCCTGAGACATATTGGAAGCTGAACAAAGTTATATGAAAATTTCGAATGAGTTTTACAAACTCATACACACTCATCTGCTTCGTCCATCTTGCAACGTTTGACGCAGGCGAAACGTGCCGCCACCGCCCTCCCAATTCTACACGCCAGTTTATAACGGCAGCAACAGATGAGAAGCTGAGCGCGCCACACCGTCATGTCGCTCCACTCTTCGCTTGCTGCTCCTACCGGTTTGGACCACCCTATCATTTTCCCATACATCACGTACTCCCTCAGTTTTAAAATATAAGCCTTTTAGAGATTTTTATAGGACTACATACAGACGCACATAGACATATTTCAGAGTGTAGATTCGCTCATTTTGCTCTGTATGTAGTCCGTATTGAAATCTCTAAAAAGTGTTATAGTATTTAGGAACCGAGGAAGTAGATTTTTACCATGCAAAAAAAGGGAGTACATTTTTATAATAAATACATAATTTTATATGAATGTTTTTGTTGTTAGATCATCCTGTTTTTTTTTTGAGAATTATCCTCCTGGTCATTTTTTTAGGGGTAATCTCCTGCCTCCTGGCCAATTGAGCTGCCTTTTTTTGAGCAATAGGTAATTGCCCGTGCGTTGCAACGGGGCATAAATATTTTAATGGTCCAGTACAATCATGGCAAATATATACCTTTACAATCCTCATGCACATCTTGCCAAATCATGTCTTGTTCATAAACATTTAGCTAGAAAGCAAATATAAGATGTAATGCATCCTTCGGTCCCATTTTTATATGGACAGAATATGAACGGGCAATGAAACCCCAAGATTGAGTTCTACTCCCTCTACAACAAGATATGTTTTGACACTACAATAATGTCTAAAAATATCTTATATTATGTTACATAGGGAATAGTTGCTTGTGTTTTTCGAACACCAACACATACGTAATCATATTGTCGTCTACTTCGCTTGGGAGATGAAGTGTATTGTATGTCTAATTTGCAAGTGAAACAACTGTTACCTGCACAGGAGACGTCATATTAAATTTCTTATTTACAAAAATAATGAAAGATGCATGCAATGATCACTCTAAATACATAGTAGTACAACATGATGTTATGTGGTCCAGCTTCCACCCTTGTCACCTTGCTCTTCGATGACGATCGAGTCTCTGGAGACGAAATCCCATCAGCAGTGCCCATGGCATATGATCACAATTTACAGGTTATACATTAACATATACCAACATACTGGAATGTATGGAAATCTGGACATTAGTGCATGCCTTGAATCATTGACTGTCTTGAGCTTGTACTCCTTAACTGTTTCACCACCTGAATCTGTACTTCCCCTTTATAATTTCTCATGTACAACACCAGCATGATCTGAGAAGATAAGCACTGTCCACTACCGCAGGATTGTCATTATCTGAATTCTAATTGGAGTCACATGCTCTCGCTGTCCTGTCTTGCTCTTGCAGCAGTAGCTACTGCTGCCGCCTTTTTATTGGTGATCTCTCTGCTTTGTTACCACGCATAAGCACAATTAGAAAGCTGATGTGATGGTTGCTAATGCACGTACGCGAATGCAAGGAGCTCACCTCAGTGGGTGCTACGGACATGGCGGGCGGCCGTGGCGCAGCATCTTGAGAATCATGGTCTTGAGGTGCGGTACACCGGTGAGCCTGTTCGGTCGCCCGCGTCTACAGATGAAACGTGCCCACAACGATAGGCCATAGGGATAAGAAAGAGATATATGAATCACGTTTTCAGAAAATCCAAATGGATAGTGCATGTGCAGGGCCGTTGATGGGGGAGTGCGAGCAGCCTAGAGATTTCTTTCCTTCGTTTCTGCAGATCTCGACAATTTCTTCCTGCATGCCACGCGCGGTCTCCGCGATTATCTTCCGTACATGCATCTGATTGCTTCCTTCTGGTTTGTTTACCGATTGGTGGAAAAAAGAAAGGAAATTGATGACCTCCATTGAGTTTATTGCATTACCAAAGAGGATATTCATTTTTTTTGCGCAATCAAGGAGGATATTCATTACCGTACCATACATGTACTGATCACGTTTGTATTACAAAACAAAAGATTGGTTACCATACATGAATTATTTGGTTGCCAAAAATATAGCGGGTCCATCCAGCCAGATGTGAATAAAACTGGCAAATAGGGAACCAGCAGAAAGAAAACCGGTGGAGGGAGGAAAGAAAATCGGTGGTGGGGTGGGGCCGTGGGGGTCGTACGAAAGGATGGACGAAGGGTGAACGACGTAAGAGGGGAGAGGAAACCTTACGTTTTTTTTAAATAAGTAGAGAAGAGATTCCAAAATTGAGCTGGCTACGATCCGGTCGGGGTCTCACAGGCACGAGAGGGCGCAAAACCGGGCCGGGCCATCATCCTGCCTTACCTCCCAGCCTGGGCCTGCCGTGGGCGCAAACCCGAGCCAGAGCCCGATTAAGTGGAAGCCGCGTGCCCGCATCGGTACTCCCTAATAACTTCTTCCCCTTTCCACCTTGTCGGCGAACACCCACCATAATCCCCACGCCCGAGGCTTCCTCCCGCGGCGAAACCCTAGCGACCGGAGCGCTCGGCGGCGGCAGCCATGGCGGACGACGATTACAATGAAGTTGACATGGGGTTCGCCTCTCTCTCTCTATCACACACACTCTCTCTCTCTCTCTCTCTCTCTCTCTCTCTCTCTCTCTCCCTCACCCTCTCCCTCTCGCGATCACCGTAATCTAGGCTAGGGTTTGGACAGAGTAGCGTCTTCGTTAGGACGAACCTGTTGCCATCGTTTCGATAGCATTCGGGTTGCAGAAGCTTGGCCCTTGATGATTGATTTGGCGCTCCGCACGAAAGTAGTGGTGACAATCAGGCCCTAGGTATGGTTCGTTGGGTTTCGGAAGCGCCTGGTGCTGATTTTGAGTTCGCACTGGTTCTCACGCATAATAGGCTCGTGTGATTGTCAATTGACAGTGCAATATTTTGTCTTCAAGTTGACTAGGACATGATTGTAGGCTTTGTTCCCCATCTGATTTGGAAATTGTGCCCCTGAATTGCGGGTATACAACTTTTCAAGGCGGTAAATGTTTGAGTTAAAGGTTAGTTGTTGATGCTCCCATCGAAGTTAGCAGCAGCTGTAAGGTCTTGCTTCTAATTGGGATAAAAATTTCAGCTCAGCCTTCCATTTGTGATTTGGTGGTGAAGAATTAATGCATTAGTTGGTCAGGTACTCAAGCCTATCTTTTCAGGGTGCCACTGTGATTATGTGACACTATCTGCCTAATTGTTTAAACAAAAAGATATGGATGCTTAACTTTAGTAGAATTACCATTTATATACAATTCGTACTTCACTTCCTTTGGGGTCAATATAGATCCTTATATTTCTCTTCTCATGCCACTGTACCTATCAGAGTTTATTTCATTGAATGAATTTTTGAGTTACAATTCCTCATTTCTTATGCAGGTATGAGGATGAGCCTCCAGAAGCTGATATTGAGGTGCAGATCTGTCACTATTTCATATACTGCTGGTATTCTTTAGAGGAAGAGCTTGTAGCTTCATATAAGTATTACTGGTGCATTACTGTTAAATAGGAAGGGGTTGAAGAAGATCCTGAGAACAATGAGGATGCCCCTGATGATGTGGTAGGGGGTGAGGGTGAAGAAAAGGAACAGGAAAAGACTGCCCGTCCACGCAATACAACAAAATATATGACCAAGTATGAGCGGGCACGCATCCTTGGCACACGTGCTTTGCAGATAAGGTATACTTATATCTGGGTACACATTCCTGTTAATGTGTTCATTTAATGAAGTAATTGACCCATTGATTTTTGTAGCATGAATGCCCCAGTTATGGTTGAGCTTGAGGGCGAAACTGATCCTCTTGAGGTAAAGTCGTATATTTTTTTGCTTACATATACTTTTAATGTCGGCTTCCAGTTAGACGATAGCCTTGGCTGTTTGCTTTCATTCTTTAGTTCCACTTGTCTTGTTGTACTTCTCTTTCTAGAAAAATTCTGATAGTATATTTAGATGGAAATTTACTTTTAAAGTAGAGATTGATTGCCTTGATACTGTGGAATTAGTCGTGTGCCAGGTATAAGAACGACCATGCTTATTTATGAATCTACTTTATATGGAGCTATATAAACTTATGAATAGGCTTTGCAATGAGAAGATTGACATTCTGATGTGGTGATCTAGGAATCTACTTCCTCTGTCCGGAAATAAGTGTTGCTCAAACGAATGTATCTATATGTATTTCAGTGCTAGATACATCCGTTTGAGCAACACTTATTTCTGGACGGAGGAGTACTTTATATTGAATTACTCCGTGCTAACTAATGAATATCCAACATTGTTGGAAATATTTATATTTATGAATTTGTTAACGTAGATATGTTTGATTGTTAAATACTCCGTCCCATAATATAAGAACATTTTTGACACTAAATGTTCTTATATTATGGGACGGAGGGAATAATTGATAGTGTATAGTCTCTTAGGATCACGGGTCAGCAATGCAACCAGTTACTGATGTGTTTTCATTGTTCTACTGAATTATTGGGATTCTTGCTTTGTAATATTGCATCTAATTAGGCACTTAGTTTGAAGTTTCAATATGCCAGTACAAGGAAATGTTCTTATGTGCAATTATGAAAATGTTCTTGCTGTATTAGTCTACCTTGTGAGTATGTGTTTTCCTTATAAAGCATAGCGCTAGACATAACAGAAGTTAATAAGCGTTTCTGTTTGTCTACTGAATTTGGTTTAGTCATTGTACCTATGTACATGTAGCTACTAGCTAGTTAGGATTCTTATTTACTCCAGTTGTATGAACAGGGATTGTAAGCAGTAAACCACTAAATTACACCATTTTATACCAAAAGGATGTCCTTGTTAATCACCTATGGTTCTACCCCTTTCTCTGAAACCACATTCTACAATATGTGTTCTGTTTTGTCAGAACAAAAAGAATCTGAATAGTTTTAGGTAAGAGCAGAAAAACCATGAAACGGTCGATATTTTGAGAAGTAATAATGCTCTTGCAAAGGGTAATTGAAATGAAATTCGTCCTCGTCTGTCAATAGTCCATTACAAACACTACCCAGATGGTTTTTGCTCCCATTTACTGTGGAACATAGTATACCATCGCACTCATTTCTACTCCCTCCGTCCCATAATATAAGAGCGTTTTCAACACTAGTGTAGTGTCAAAAACGCTCTTGTATTATGGGATTGAGGGAGTAGTTACTAAATTGCCTGCTCCGCTGATCTTTGTGTCTTTGTGCATCTTCAGATTGCCATGAAAGAACTGAGAGCACGCAAGATCCCCTTCACGATTAGGCGATACTTACCTGATGGAAGGTGAGATTTAAAGGAAAATCCAATGATCACCTTTCTTTGCTGGCTATTATGTACTATAGCCTCATTTTTTACTTTATTTTGAAATAGCTACGAGGACTGGGGAGTCGACGAGCTCATTGTGGAGGACTCGTGGAAGCGTCAGGTTGGCGGGGACTAAAGCTGGTAGACTGTTTGAATGGAAGGCTCTGTGCTGCAACAAAACCTTGCCCTAGTAGCTATATGCAATGCTTAGCACTGAACTGCTGTGACAATGTTATGTTACCGTAACATGTGTGGGCTATGTCTGCCCATTGTGTTGTGCTACTACTGTAAACCAATTGCGTGGTTGCGTTAGTTTGCTTGGACCATTGCTTGCATGCAGCTACAAGTTGCTAATGAATACCCTACTCTAACCTCCTTTTGTGAGCGTGGTGCAGGACATTCTGCCGATTATTTCGTGTTCACATTTTGTAGTAGATGACTTGAATAGATCAATTGTTTTGTAGTACTCCCTCCGTTGATTTCAATATGGACTACATATGTAGTCGTAGTCCATATTGAAATATTTTAGGAACGGAGGAAGTAGATGTCTTGAATAGATCAACCAGAGTGCTAGGGTTGGGAACAGAGAAATACAAGCGCGTCCATTCAAACCTTAATACGAACTCTCAAAAGAAAAATTGGATAAAATCCAACTTATATATGCTGGGTGTTTGGATAAAATCCTTCTCTCAGCAAAACAATGCAAGTTTGTTCTCAGGGCTGCACAAAGCATCAAAATCCAATTTCCCATTTTACAGATCCTTAGCTAGTTTACTACCAGCATCTCGAATGATCGATGCCGGCGTTGGCACATGCAGCGTGTCCTTCACAGTATGCAGTGTGCTGCGAATGCCGCGCGCGTCGCTCATCAGAGCAGCGACCTGAACCGGTCGCCCTCGGTCTGCACGCGGTCCCGGGTGATCTCGGCGACGCTCCGGCAGCCGCAGAGCGCCATGGCCAGCTCCAGCTCCCTGTTGAGCATCTCGATCACGTGCTTCGCCCCCGCCTGGCCCCTCGCCGCCAGCCCGTACAGCACCGGCCTCCCCACCATGACTGCCCGTGCCCCCAGCGCCAGCGCCTTGAGCACGTCGGTCCCCCGCCGGACTCCGCCGTCCACCAGCACCGGGACCGCCCCCGCCACCGCCTTCACTACCTACACACACACACGCGCGAAGCACCGCCTTTAGAATGTGTTTTATGATGCTGCACACACACACACACACACACACACACACACACACACCCTTTGAACAAAATGGAAGACGACGGGCATTGGTGCAGTGAACCTCTTCGAGGGCGGATATGGTGGCCGGCGCGTAGTCGAGCTGCCGAGCGCCGTGGTTGGACACGATGATGCCGGCTGCCCCGGCCTCCACTGCTTTCCTGGCTGTTTGTTCCCCATGGTGTTCAACATTTCATGTATAAAAGATGAAAGATATGATCAACAAATTTATCCTCTGAAATGACTGAAGATACCGAACAGCGTTTGCCGACTTACCGTCCTCGGCGGTCACGATGCCCTTCAGTAGAATGGGCAGGCTGGTTATGGATTTCAGCCACTCCACGTCCTACACACAGGGTTACCGGAGAGAGAATGTCAGAATTCACGTTCCAACTTCCATTATGCTCCTGAAGGATTGGCTCCTTGTTTCGGACATCAGTGCAGCAGCAGCAGCCAAGTACTGGAGCAATTCAAGGTTACTGTCTCCCTATATGTAAGGCACGTTCTCTACTGATAGGCAACCCTGTTCTTGCCAGAGGGCTTTGAATGTATAGCGTGCCTCTAGATGGGTCATGCAGAATGGCAGAATTGTCCTTGAAATTACTGTTGAACATACTTATGGAGTACTGGCGCACATGCTGTAGGATCTAAAGCTTTAAATTTGCATATGGGTGCTGATTTTGCTGTACCTTCCATGATAAAGACGGGTCCAGCGTGTCGCGCGCGTACTTCTCAAGCTTCGACCCGTCCGTCTGCAGATGAGAAATATGAGCCTTTCAGAAAGAAAAATGAATCCATGTAGTGTCCGAATGTCATAAACTATTTTGTTCATCTGTCCAGCACGGACAAATTATCCTCGAGTAAACATGCTCAAGGTAAGATATTCCATCAAGCAGGCATTGACTCACCGTATCGAGATCATCTATTGGCATCAAACCTTCGAGGTTTGCATTCGCAGGAGCAACCATTCTGCATGAACAATAAGATCAGCAAACCAAACATAAGAATTCTGTGCCATGGTGTCTGTTTATGACATTCAAAGGCCATATAAATATCTTTTAGGTACGATTTCAGGCATGAGACATTTGTAGGCTTATCAAATTTTAACCTCAGTGAATCGAGTTATATCATATTATTAAGTTGGTATTCTCTAACAAAGAATATTATTAAGATGGTACTAACATCACCAGATTTCCTATAAGAGGGAAATTCCCATATGGTTATTTTGGTGGGTTCAAACTATAACATTGCAGATTGATCAGGTATACTTTGAGCTATTAAAAGTATATGCAAACTTTAAAGTCCTAACGAATAAACTCTATCTTTAAATAGAAGCATATTATCTTGTCATGTGGTTTGCCGCAAAAAATAGGGTAGTATATGTAGAAGGAAAATAACAAATTGTTGTACAAAATATTTAAAACTTTGAAGATAAAATTGTACTTATTTCTGATATCTGCTTCACGTCGACCGAGCATAGGAGTGTCAACTGTCAAAACAATTGCCTTGAACCCATGACTCTCAGCCCGTTGTACCAATGTTGCTGAAATATCTCTGTTCTTAAACACCTAAAATGTTTGTACATAAAACAAAATCTGAGATCACATTATCACGAAAGGAATTATATCGAGCTTGAAGTCTAGATGTCATACATATAACTGGTAAAAACGAATGGCATTACAACTGGAGGCAACTTCTTCGATTTTGCAACTGGCTGAGAAGGATAGCACCTGTACTTGACAAAAATGAACATATATAGCAATTGACAGATGAAATAAAACACGATTGAAAGATCATGAATTGTCAGTTGACACCAACCATTAAGGTATTACATGCTGCTGCAGCTCTTGCTGTAGCCACCTCCCCTGAAATTAGCATTGAAACAAGAGATGTAGAGATATTACAAAGTTTAGATGTCATATTTTTGACATTCTAAAATAAGTTTTGAACTATGAGACCTTCTGGATTTGCCAATTTGTGTGATCCCGTTGGTGCAACAATTATGGGCGAGGGCATGTCATATCCCAATAAGTTTATTGACATGTCTATGTTGCTGACATCTACAAGAACCCGAGGTCGCAACCTGCAGAATACACATCGAGAAAATCTTCAAGTCCAAACTCTTCAGGTCAATGAAGATTTTACCTGGAAGAGGCAGTATAGGAACAGTACAAAATTCTTCCATATGCTGCAATGTTGTCCCTCAATGTGTGTTCATCCTCCGCTCCTCCATTGATATAATCATAGTGCATCTTTGGCAGTGCTTTCTTGGCGAGTTCTTGATACTCACGAATATTGACTGGTAGATTATTCTCCATTTCTTCTACATAGAATGTTTAGAGGTCATTCAGCTGATGCAAATATCTGAATTTTAACCATACATCGGTTCAGATCTTTCTTTACATATGACCAACTGTCCAACTAGATGCCTATTTTTCAGTACTTTAGTGCCAAATCATTACATCTTTTACACATATACAGAGCTCTAAATTGAAGTCTCTATATACGTCCGAAAGAACTATAAAATACAGTACTGGCCACCTTTCAGAGCTGCCCTTTTCTTTTTTAGTAGACAACCTATTGCTTGTGTTCCTTGATCTTTGAGCCAATTTGTTTTTTCTCGAACACGCGTTTTATATTAGAAAAGAACGCCAAGATTGGTGCAAAGTTTACATGCGTAAACCGGGAGAACCAGAAAGAACCAAAAAAACCAACATAAGCCTAAAAGGTATGAAAGAAGAAAGCCAAAGCCCTACTGCTACCACTGTCTATTGTAGGACTGGAGGCCGAGCGTGCAGAGGCAAGCTCCTCAAGGCCACGGCCCCTGCCATCTTCCATTGGTCGACCTCGGGCAGAATTATTTTTAGCATTTTTTTTCTTGTTTCGATTCCTATTGATTCGTCAAATCCAAAAAGGTCTGATTGCTGATTGAAGTTGAATTTATAAGAAAATTATTTTCTTCTAAGATTATGCTATGAAGCATAGAAGAAAATCAGCCTATTGCATTTGAAAAAAATAGCCAGGCCTTTTATGATGATGCAGCTGTACTAATAAAACATGTTTGTAAACTGAAATATCTGAATCATGCTGCAAATACCATTTATGGAGTAAAGTGCCGTTAGACAAACATTTGCAGTGCCAAACTTGATTTATTCAATTTGGTACAAAAGCTTACTGACAATCTAATCATGTAGCTTCTCTAAAGAAGATAATCCGATCACAACGGACTCAGCCAAGATGGTTAAAATTCTTATTCTGCAGATTTTATAGAAAGGTACATATACAGAAGTAATGCAACAAGAGTACAGTTCCGAAGAAACTCGAGGCACAAAATTTGATTTAATATCCATTCAGGTGTAAAAACTTGCCAATAATTGAGCACTATAACTTATCAACAATTTCTATAATATAACTTCACTGTTTTTAAGTTAGGAGTTACATAGAGAAGTTTTTACTGCGAGAATGCGTATCATAACTCATTTTTGTTCAGTCTCCTCGAAACAGGCTTCAGCCCAGCTTTATATATAAAGCCCAAACGGCCGAACCGATACAAAGTGGTGCGGATTTTTGTTGGGCCTCAGGGTAGATGCAAATTGAAGGGGCAAAACAGTGAGTTTCTACTGTTGGTCACTGACAACTGCAGGGAATCGAAGAGTACAATGCAGATCAAAATGGCTCCAGATCAAACTATTCAAGTACAAAGTCCTTTGAAAGTGTAACTGCATACCTGATGCGAGCCAGCCTATCGATAAAAAGTACTCGAGTACTCCTCTACTACGTTCCAAAAATGGATAGACTGTGCTACGGCTTAGCACCAGTTCATACAAACATTCAACACTTAAAACCACTAAGCACATTCAGAAGTTCACTACCCAGGCGCAAAAACACGCATCTACATTCAAATAAAGGCTGGGCCAATCCAGATGATGCACGTCTTCGGGACTACAAAGCGTTTGTTCATGATCGGAGGAGCAAATCTCAAACAGTCCGCTCTGATCAACCGCAATAACCAGTGAGAAACCTTGTGAGGCCCAAGGTCGAACACTTGACCTGCTGCTTACTGGAACATCATAGGAAGGAGGTGTCCTACTGAGCTTAAAGATAAGGCCCCGGGACTGGGTCTGGCGAGACGGGGGACAAATTAAGAAGAAAACAGCGGGAGGACATACAATCGCCACTGGATCTCCGACGCAACTTCAATCATTTCACTGCACCACACAGTCGGGGATCATTCAAGATCCACAGTAACACGGCGGTCTCATCTGCCAGGCCCCCCACGGGGTCTCGCAGAGCAGCCGGTCAGCCGGAGATCGACAGCAAATCGAGAGCGGGACGGCCGTAGGAGACAGCGAATTGAAGGAGGGGATCGTGCGTGGAGGTGGAGCAGCAGGCAGGCACCATACCTGTAGTAGCGATTGAGGACTCGGGAGGATGGGCAGCTACCGGAGATGTCGGGGAGGATGAAATCAAGAAGGGGAGACTGATTGCTATGCTAGCTGCTGGCTGGGAAGGGAAGGATAGTGGATGATCGAGTGAGTGTGATGATGTCAGAAGACAGGTAAGGACAAGAAGAGGGTGATGTTGGAGTGCGGATTTTTGGAGGCCGAGCTCCAGTGAGCTCGGTATTTAAAAAAATAAATCAAAAAGCGTATTTAAAAGTTCCAAAAAAATCTGAAAAAAATACCATGAAAACCTATATGTATTCCGCAAGAACGTGTTAAATTTCGTCGAAAAATGTTGTGATTCGTAGGCTGTACAAAAATAACAAATTTCTGGCCCAATAACAAAAATAAAAGGCCCATTAAAAAATATGCATTTGTCTTTTTCCTGTACGCCACATGTAAACGTATAATACTGTAAATTTTGCATATACATAGTATACATGTGCATGTGTGTTCAAAAAATAAATTTAGAATTTTTTGCGCTCCAAAAAAATAAAAATTGAAAACGAGCTCACTGGAGCTCGGCCTCCATTGGCATTTTCCGGTGATGTTGGCCCTACACTAGTGAGAACGAAAATTGCAGTCACGCTCGTGCAATTTCATCTCATCAGTGTCAACTTCAAGTAACTCTGCATTTTTTTTAAAAGAAGTATGCTTGTATTCAAACCACAAAATAATGCAAAGTCTTTGATCCGTACAAGCATACCGTATCACATGCACAAATAACCGGAATAATAAAGAGCATCCTAAAACAACAAGTAAAACAGTAAAACATGAGAGGGCCGCTTGCCCGCCCTGCCTTCCCCCAGCGGCGTCGCCATGCTCAGCGCGTGTTGGCTGCGCCTCGTTCGCCGCCGGAGTCCAGGATGCCGACTGAGCTGTTTGGCTGTTGCTACAATTGTGGCAAAGACGATGGTCACATCTCGGCGGAGTGCAGGAACCCCAGTTTCTATGTTCGGTGCCGGGGGGAAGGTCACATCTCGCGGGGCTGCACCCGCCCCTGCAGCTTGTCTCCGGTGGAGCAGCCGCCGCGCCCCCGTCGGCCCTCCGTCCTAGGGCTTCTCCTGCTGCTGTGGCGTCGGCCGTTTCACCCCCAGCCTCGCCGCGGCGCTCTGCTTCAGCTCTGCCGCCGCCCCCTCCAGGCCCTCCGCCACCAGGTGCCATCAGGCTTTGGACGGACGTCGAGCGGGCGTCGTTTGCGTCGGCGGCGCGTGTGACGCCGGTGATCTCGGGTCAGGGTGTAGGATCGAAAGTATGTCTAGAGGGGGGGGGGGTGATTAGACTACTTGACCAAATAAAACTTATCCTTTTCCCAATTTTAGTTCTTGGCAGATTTTAGCAACTTTGGATAAGTCAAGCAATCTTAACACAATTCAAGCAAGCATGCAAAGAGTATATGAGCAGTGGAAAGTAAAGCATGCAACTTGCAAGAATGTAAAGGGAAGGGTTTGGAGGATTCAAACGCAATAGGAGACACATATGTTTTGTCGTGGTTCCGATAGGTGGTGCTATCGTACATCCACGTTGATGGAGACTTCAACCCACGAAGGGTAACGGCTGCGCGAGTCCACGGAGGGCTCCACCCACGAAGGGTCCACGAAGAAGCAACCTTGTCTATTCCACCATGGCCGTCGCCCACGAAGGACTTGCCTCACTAGGGTAGATCTTCACGAAGTAGGCGATCTCCTTGCCCTTACAAACTCCTTTGTTCAACTCCACAATCTTGTCGGAGGCTCCCAAGTGACACCTAGCCAATCTAGGAGACACCAATCTCCAAGAAGTAACAAATGGTGTGTTGATGATGAACTCCTTGCTCTTGTGCTTCAAATGATAGTATCCCCAACACTCAACTCACTCTCACAGGATATGGATTTGGTGGAAAGAAGATTTGAGTGGAAAGCAACTTGGGAAGGCTAGAGATCAAGATTCATATGGTAAGAATGGAATATCTTGGCCTCAACACAAGCGTAGGTGGTTCTCTCTCAGAAAAGGTAAGTTGGAAGTGTAGGTTCATTCTGATGGCTCTCTCTATGAATGAACAGGAGGTGGAGGGGTATATATAGCCTCCACACAAAATCTAACCATTACACACAACTTGCCAATCTCGGTGGGACCGAATTGATAAACTCGGTTGGACCGATTCAGCAAATCTAGTGACCGTTAGGATTTTCGGTGGGACCGGCATGCAACTCGGTAGGACCAATATGGTTAGGGTTAGGGCATAACGTAATCTCAGTGAGACTGATTACACAAACTCGGTGAGACCGATTTTGGTAATAAGCTAACCAGAGAGTTGGTCGGGTAAACTCGGTGGGACCGATTCGCTCATTTCGGTGAGACCGAAATGTTACGAAAGGGAAACAGAGAGTTTACATTGCAATCACGGTGGGACCGATCGCTCATCTCGGTGGGACCGAAACGTTATGAAGGGAAACAGAGAGATTACAATCCCATCTCGGTGAGACCGAGATCCCTATCGGTGAGACCGATTTGCCTAGGGTTTGTGGCAGTGGCTATGACATCTGAACTCGGTGGCGTCGGATAGAAAGAATCGGTGGGGCTGAGTTTGACTTTTGGTTTAGGTCATATGTGGATGTGAGAAAGTAGTTGAGGGCTTTGGAGCATATTACTGAGCACTTTGAGCAAGAGCCTCATTAAGCAACACCTCATCCCTCCTTAATAGTATTACTTTTTCCTATAGACTCAATATGATCTTGGATTACTAAAATAGAAAATTTAGAGTCTTGAGCTTTGATCTTGAGCCAATCCTTTTGTCCTTAGCATTTTGAGGGGTCCACTTTTCTCATTCATGCCATGTCAATTATTGAGCTTTCCTAAAATATTAATCTTGAAATAGCATTAGCTCAATGAGCTAT